GGGGGGGTTGAACCGCTATTTGTCTGATCCGTCGCCTAGGACCTGTTTGCCTTGGGAGACCCTACCAGGGGCGTTAAGCCCCCGACAACATAGCTCCTAGGTTCATTTGGATACTCAAACCCCTCCACCACGTTAAGGTTGCGATTCAAGGAGAGGTAAATATTTTATATATAAACATTTAAAAAAAAAAAAAAAATCACATTTAATGTCTACCCACATGCAGGTTGTTGGTTTACGTAATTTTTTGACGCTACTTTAATTTAGGGAATCCTGAAAGGTAGTCCTTCAGTCATATAAGTAGTCAGGAAATAGTTGCTGTGTACTGCATTTTACGTATATGGTACTCTCATGCTGTTAATGATATTGTTGACTTTGGTTTGTGGTGAAAACTCCAACTAATTTATACCTGATAGTTAGCTTATTAAACTTTTTGATTGACAGCGTTCCCATTAGTATATTTAAATATAATCAGTCGGTGTTTCCTTATGGAGTAGTGCACGAGCTGTTATGGAGAACGGACACAAAGTAGACTGGCGTGAGTGAAGACAGGCTGGAGGAGGAGACTGTTGTACTTACGCCAGGGAGGAGCCTGCCTCCTCACTGAGGTCACAGCCAGGGAGGAATGACGGGGAGGGATGGGTGGACGACAGACCAGGTGGGATTGTTTGGTTGTTTTTGTTTAATGGAATGAGCAGAGAAACATGGGTGAATGGCACAGACGAGTGTGGGACACAAAGACAGACAAGGAGAAGACGTCCAGTCTTGGACACAGGGTATTTGTCATCTTAGATGAGTGTTACTAGGTTTGACTGCTGCTTTTTAACTGGACCTGATCATGTTGCTTCACACAAATCCTAAAATCTGTTTGATCTCACCCTTCGTGTCCCTTGGCCTGTGACTGTCCGGCAATGGCGTCCATGATGGCGTCCTGTGAGTACATGCTGATAGGTGTGTTGTACTGGGCGTGAACGATAGTCGCCTTTCCACCTGGACCTTTCACCTCAATGGGCTTATGGGTGGACAGGGCCGAGTCTCTCAGCGCAATGGGGTTGAAGCTGGGAGTGTACTCCACACTGAGAGGTCAGGGGTCAGCATGTCAGAGGTGGGATTTGGTTTCATAGTTGAACGTGGCAGGTCAAAAGTCACAGAGGAAAGGGGAATTTGAGAGGAAAGAAAACCCAGAAAAAGCAAAGAGAAGATGAGAAAATGGGTCAGTGCAGAAATCAAACTGACGGGGGCAGTATTTACAGGTCACCGTCAGCATCAACATATCATTAGGAAAAACATCGTCAACGTGCCAACAAAGACTAGAAAGAAAAATAAGGAAAAAAACAACATGCTAGTAATCCACTTTTTAAACAAAACACATCTCCACAGTAACCTTGGGTTTTTTTATTTTTATTTAATTAATTCATTTGCAATTATATGTTGTTGTTTAGCTGCTAAATCATTGGATTAGTTTTTTAAAAACATTGGCTCTACCACCAGGGACAAAGTACTACTACTAGTATTTGTGCTATGAGAAAAAGTCAATACAGTAATGTTACCGTTTTACTTTGTATATCTGGTGCTGTTATGTACAGATATCAGTGACAAGCACAGACAGATTTTGAGCTCACACACACAGAAACCAAACCACACAATGTGCACAAAAACACTGTAACAGTACTGACTTTGCAGCTGTGTTTGCGATAACCTGAAACAAATTAAAGACAGAGAGGAGACAGGACAGAGAAGAGACAGGGGAGAATGCAGTGAATCACCAGTGGTATTTCGATGAGAACAATAGAGGACGCTATGCAGCAGTGTGTCTTCATAATCCTGTGTAGTGGGTCAAAATAGCAGCCGCTTGTCATTGCTGAAATATTTCCCAGCTTCCCCTGCATCACTAGGCAGGTGTGACTGACAAGGGCAGACATGTCTCAATCACATGACAGTTGCAGGGACGTGGTTAGTCCAGAAATGGACTGGAGCATTAAACAAGCGATAGCACTGACCGCCTGATGCACTTACATCACAACCACTGTCCTTTTACACATGTGGTACAAACACGGGTGCCCAGGCTGCCAGCACATGGTACACTAACGTACGTGATTTTCACCCAGCTCGACACTGTGTCACACGTTTTGAAAAAGTTAAATATAGTTTTCAGTAAGTCACAGTTAAGAGACATTTAGCAGGAATTTCAAATATTTCAGAGCTAATTTATGCAAAGCCTTCACTAATTTCTGACATAGTGTCACACTATCTTGTGTTACTGCTGCCTGCTGTTGTCTCTCAGGAAGCATGTGTTCTGACACCTGACTTGCCATTGGCTGTCACTGTAAAGCATCTCAGCTCCAGAGGGGAAAGACATTAGTAAAGCCTGATATGTGGATGTGAAATGTCAGAGGCCGAGCAGCTTACAGCCTAAATTAACCTCTGTGTGGCGTCTGACTGAGGCTGCGTTCAAAGACCCCTCTGCCCACTGACGCCATATTCTTGCATTGGAAAGTGAAGCTTGGTCATGTGGTTATGGCAGTTTAGTACAAGTTACAAGATCTAACCTAAATTCTTAATGTCGTTCACGACCAACTATTTTTTCAGAAAATATCCCACAGATATTTTCCTTTTTTGATTTTTATTATGGTTAAGTTATACCTTTGTTTGTCATTAGTAGATGTTGCTAATGAATCTTGAGCACCAAGGTGTTCCTTAACATATTTCTCCAAGGGTGGTGACATTTTCCAGTCAAAATAAATGATTACAAAATACAGCAGGGTCTGTCTAGTATGTATTTTGTATGTTTTTGTGTAATTTAATTCATGCTAAGTTTGTAACTTTCTGAAAGTAAATAGAAATTGTAAAATCAATAAAATATTTTATTATGCCCTGCAATACCTTTGGTGACACCTAGGTAATGATATCCCTTAAAGAAGGCATCTGTTTGGTGCAGAAAAAAAGAGTTTCTTTAACCTTGTCATAGTCTTTTCATTTGAATTTGCAACAAAAAAAGGAGGTTCAAAATAATGTCCAGGAAATGAATCACAGCAGCAGAGATTGAGTTTTTAGATTTTTTTTTTTAAATACCCAAAAATGAGGAGATCTGAGGAAACCCTGGTGCTGAGGCTGCTCGAACTTTAGTTCAGTGCTTATATTAAAGATCCTCCCTTGACCCTGTAGTCTGATCTGATGCTATTCTGTAACCTGAATGCTATCCAGGTATGTTTATGTGTGCTCCATAAATAGCGCTGTGTGTGAGAGGTATGAACGCAGGAATAGCAATGGAAACTTCTGAATATATCGTCTGATCATGTTCTGTTAATGCAGGGTTAATCAGGGGAACTGTGACTTCCAGCAGTTCAGTGGCTGTGTCGGTGTTTAAGGGTGATCCCGGCTGCAGTTAATTTTAGCCCCTCAGTGTGATTCCACTGGGGATGATTCATGCCTTTAGTGTCCTAGCCCACAGATGAGGTCTCAGGTGAGTGGGGTTCAGAGGGGTTATTACTGTCTCTTCTGGCTTAGAGGAAATAGTGCAGGTGACAGATGATTGGACAATTGTGGAATGGGTTATTTACAGTTGCACTTCTTTAAAGATGGTCATTCCACTTGGCAGGAATTCTTTTTTAGATGGAAGGCCCCATGGAAGGCCCCATGGAAGGACACATGGAAGGATGTAACACAATTAAATACTGTATATTATTTTCATCAGACTGATGTCCACTAGAAAGGCAATATTTGAGAGTAATATCATATGAATCAATATTTCTGGACCCCTGTCATTCAGGGGTCCTTAGACCTGTCCTAACCCCAGCACCGTACACTACCACTGCCATCTGGACATTTGAGACATAACTGTGTCTTAATTTCTGCCGTAATGTGGATGTCATTTGTTGAGTGAAGATCGCTGGCCTCTAAGAAAACGTATGATTTAGTTGCACTGTGACTGCTTAACACTAGATGGCAGCAAGATATTTAAAAATATTTTAAAAGAACTGCGAGTGTTTAATTAGTGTGTTTAAAAAAAGAAAAAAAGGGTTACGTTAATGCAAGTACCTTTTGGTGGGGGATGATTGGCATGGGTGAGTCCATTCTTGGAGTTGCTGTAGGAACTGGAGCAGGGCGTCTTGATCTGTAGTGACAAGAAAATAATTGAAGTGACACCACACTGAGATTTGAGTGTTTCTATGATGTGATGTATGTGCAGAGCACTGACATACGGCTGTTTAAAATGAAATGTTAAAGGCGAAGGTTTTTCCTACTTTGAGGTAGCACTAATAGGAAGTGTTTACTTCATAAATGTCACTAGAATGATCCCCATCAGTTCTCAACCACACTGTGTTATTACAGTAAATTTGTTTTGTGCTGATTCTCTACTTCTGCATGGAGAGTGACAGTCTGGTGGTGGCAGCTTTAATCTTGTTCTGGGCCTCCAGGTGTGTCATCCCATCTGTGGCGACCCCATCGATGGCTGAGATGATGTCACCCTGGGCCAGGGTGCCACCGGCCGCTTTGCTTCCTGGAGTTATCTGTGGAAGAGTAGACCAGCACATTAGAACCACTGAGACAAATTCCTTAAGAACAATCAAAACAAAAAGTGAAAAAAAAAACCCCACTGAGAAGAGATAATGTTTATCAGATGTAAATAATCTGTTTATCAGTGAAGAATTAAAGCAGAGATCTTTTACAGTGACTCCTCTGTTCACACCACATCCTCTGAGTGAAGCAGTGCAATAAACAAGGCCACAACACATTCATGAATATTTTAATGAATATTTATTTAAATTAAACCACAGTTTGTTTATTTTCACTTTGGACCAGTCAAATCCTGCAGTTGTGTTCTCGTGTTGGGTCCAAGTCCAAGAAAAAATTCAGAAAATGTAAGTGGGATTCACCCAGGTCACCTGTGAAAATCAGACTTTCGTCTCAGGTGGATTATAATGACCTCCCCAGAAATATGAGCAAGGCACTAATCAAAGTTAACGGACTACTAATGTCCCCCTGTAAACATGGGTTAAATCTACATTCTTCAACAAAATAGTTGTTCTTGTGTCACATTTACAGACTGTGGGACACAAGATTTAAACAAAACTGCCACGATGTTGTGCAAGACAGGTTTGCTATATATGTGGTCTGGCCCACTTTCTAGATACTGTATGTGGGCTACATAATACTGTCTTGTGTAGAGCGAGTGAAATAGTGTGTGGTCCAGTCTCAGGGTCATTGATTCCTAACCGCTGTACAGCAGCACCCTAATGTTGATCTACAACGTTCGTGTGTGTCTTTCATTGATTCCTGTCAGTATATTAGGGTAATGTTCCACCTAACAGGCCTGTTTGTTTTGCCATGCCTCAAAAAGGTTGTCGCACAATGCCCTGGGTCATGTTATCAGTGAATAGGATCAGAAGCTGTTATGATGCATGTGTCCGTCCACAAGGGGGCAAGGTCAGCTTGCTCTCAGACATGGTGGGATATATACAGTATAGGAATTTAGTAAATACATATGCATTCAGTATAATAGGACACCTACATCAAGTGGGCAATATTTTAGTTTGAGTTGTCAGAGAAAAGATGTGGGGAAATAAATCAAAGGAAACTATACAGAAAATGTTTTTTCTTTTATCCTTTTTAATCATCATTTAACTTCCTGCCAGTGAGAGTCAACCACACAGAGCTGTGGTCTAGGTTTACAGTCAACGTGCTAAAGTGTTAAAAATAAGCAATGCTGTCTGAGGCCCTACTGTGACGACCAGCTCACACACACACACCGATCCCCTCACACACACCTGTTGCTGACAGTCATACACAACTTCCTTAATGCTCCGTTATCTGTTTACACTCACAGCTTTTCTTTTCACTTTCAGACTGGACCAGGTCAACTTTTCCTCTCTCCACACACCTCACATCACTACGTTAACACATACGTGCACATAATTCACTATTGCAGTTCCACTTGTGTTGTGTGTTTACCTCTGCAGGGCTAACACATGTAGACACATGATAGCACATGGCCCCTGCTGCTTCTCATATAAATCAAGGTGCTCAAATATAGCACACACACATAGACAAACAGGAGCTGCAGTCTGTTACAGTGGAGGTCCAGGTCAGCTCTGCCACAGAACCGTACAGGCTGGAAAGGGTTTGAGCAGAGGTAAAATGACTTTAATGGGTGTTTCTGATAGTGCTCCAAAACACATGATGTCATCTGCTATTAATAGACTCTGGACATGTCTCACGTTTCAGAGTTGCATCAGCCACAGGGGCTGTAGATTAGTGACCACAGAACTGGTCAAAATATAAATATATGGCACCAATGACAGGGATTTTTTTTTATCTACAACTCAATTTGGTTTGTCTCACAATCCCTGACCCATGTTTCAACCGGACTAATGAGCTCTAATGTGTTTATTCTCCTCATTTATCTGAGTTTCTGGGAGGTGTCGGAGGAAATCCAAACCACGGTGGCGTTACGTCAAACTGTAACAGTACTCTCCCCAGACTCCCCCGCCTGTCACATCCAGCTGTAGTGTTTTATGTTAAACTGCCACAGTCAATCATGACCTGGAGATTCACTGACCCGATGTCAGAACAGACTTGAATTAAAGAGCCCCACCCCCTCCAACAGTCGGAGGTGGAATCTTAAATGAAATCAAAGGCTTGTAGAGCAACAGTCGTGTGGAGCTGTGAATCAGTAGAACCTGAGACGGATCACCAGCTGAGCATCCATCACAACAACCCCACAGTTACTTCTCAAGTTCACATTCACCCCCACCCCCACCTCCTATTTGCCTTCTCCTTTACCTCCTCCAGGCTCATCTCCAAAGACCTACACAAAATCAGACCCTAACTGCAGATTGAAGACTTTATCCACCAACAGATGTCTGACTTTTTACTTTCCTGCCCCTACGATACCCCTGCTGTCCATTTACCTAACCCAGCCTTCTTCAATGCTATTTAAAGGAAGGACTTTAAATATACCAACAGTCCTGCC